TACTATGATCCCTGTCAGAGCAGTCAGTGGTGGTAGCTGGGCACCATCTAGTTGTGCTGGACTCAGTCTGGTGGAGGCTGTGGTACTTGTGACCCATTAGTCCTTTGGACTAATCTTTCCCTCGTGTCTTTGGTTTTCTTCATTCTCGCTTGCTCCAGATGGGTTGAGACCAGTGAAGTATCTTAGATGGCCACTCACAAGCTTTTAAGACCCCAGATGCTACTGACCAAAGCAGAACGTAGAACATTTTCTTTATAAACTATGTTATGCCAATTGAGCTAGATGTTCCCTGAGACCATGGTCCTCACAGCCCTCAGCCCAATAATTTGGTTCCTCAGGGAGTTTGGATGTGTCTATGGAGCTTCTATGACCTTGCTTCAGAAAAGTTGTGCTGGCTTCCCCAGTATTGTGTACTGTCTTACCCGTCACCAAGGTTACCACTTATCTATTGTCTACTTAGTGTTTTTCCCTCCCCATGTCTCCCCTCCTGGTAACCATTAAAGATTGTTTCTTTTTGTGTGTAAACTTTTTCATGAGTTTTTATAGTAGTGGTCTCATACCATATTTGCCCTTTTGTGATTGACTTGTTTTACTCAGCATAATGCCCTCCAGATTCATCTATGTTGTGAGACGTTTAGCAGATTTATCATTGTTCTTTAACGTTGTGTAGTACTCCATTGGTGTGTATGCACCATAATTTGTTTATCCATTTATCTGTGATGGGCATCTAGGTTGTTTCCATCTTTTTGCTATTGTGAATAATGCTGCAATGAACATGGGTGTGCATATGTCTATTTGTGACGGCTCTTATTCCTCTAAGATATATTCCTAGGAGCAGGATTGCTGGATCATATGGTATTTCTATTTCTAGCTTTTTAAGGAAGCATCATATTATTTCCAAAATGGTTGTACCATTTTGCATTCCCACCAGCAGTGCATAAGAGTTCCAATCTCCGCACAGCCTCTCCAACATGTTATTTTCTGTTTTTTGTTTTTTTTTTAATTTGTGTCAGTAATGTTGGAGTGAGATGGTATCTCATTGTGGTTTTGATTTGTATTTCTCTAATGGATAGTGATCTCAAGCATTTCCTCATGTGTCTGTTAGCTGCCTGAATGCCTTCTTTGGTGAAGTGTCTGTTCATATCCTTTGCCCATTTTTTAACCGGATTATTTGTCTTTTTGTTGTAGAGGTGCAGGATTTTCCTATAGACGTTAGAGATCAGAACTTTGTCAGATTTGTCATAGCCAAAAATTTTTTCCCAGTCTGTAGATTCTCGTTTTACTCCTTTGGTGAAGTATTTTCTTTAATATTCATTTATTATTTTTATTGTTGTGCTTTAAGTGCACGTTTACAGTTCAGTTAGCCTCTCATACAAAAATCTATATATACATTGTTATGTAACCCTAGTTCCTTTCCCTGTACTGCGAAAGCACACTCTTCCTTTCCACTCCAAATTTCCCGTGTCCATTCAACCAGCTCCTGACCTTCTCTGCCTTCTCATCTCGCTCTGGAAAGGAGCTGCCCGTTTAGTCTCATGTATCCACTTGAGCTAAGAAGCACACTCTTCATGAGTATCATTTTATGTCCCATAGTCCAGTCTAATCTTTGACTGAAGAGTTGGCCTCGGGAATGGTTTTAGTTTTGGGCTAACACAGAGTCCAGGGGTCATGTCTTCCAGGGTCCCTCCAGTCTCAATCAAACCACTAAGTCTGGTCTTTTTACTAGAATTTGAGTTCTGCACCACACTTTTCTCCTGCTCCGTCAGGGACTCTCTGTTGTGTTCCCTGTCAGGGCGGTCATTGGTGGTAGCTGGGCACTATCTACTTCTTCTGGTCTCAGGCTGACGAAGTCTCTTGTTTATGTGGCCCTTTCTGCCTCTTGGGCTAATACTTTCCTTGTGTCTTTGGCGTTCTTCATTCTCCTTTGTTCCACGTGGGTTGGGGTCAATTGATGCATCTTGGATGGCTGCTCACTAGCTTTTAAGACCCCAGATGCCACTGAAGTCTTTTGATGAGCCTAAGTATTTAACTTTTAGAAGATCCCAGTTATCTAGCTTATATTCTGTAGTTTCTGTGTTGTTAGTTATGGTTTGTATCCTGTTAATGCTATGTGTTAGGGCCTCTAGCGTTGATTCTATTTTTTTTCTTCTATGATCTTTATAACTTTTGGTTTTATATTTAGGTCTTTGATTCATTTTGAATTGGTTTCTGTGTATGGTGTGAGGTATGGATCCTGTTTCATTTTTTTGCAGATGGACATCCAGTTTTGCCAGTACCATTTGTTAAAGACTTTCTTTTCCCCATCTGATGTACTTTGGGCCCTTGTCAAGGATCAAGTAACCATAGGTGGATGGATTTACATCTGGGTTCTCAATTCTGTTCCATTGGTCAATGTATGTGTCATTGAGCTCTTTGAAATCTTCTGTTCAGCTCTTTCATTTCATCATTTCTTCAATTCACTTTGGCTACTCTACATTCAAGAGCAAGTTTCAGAGTCTTTTCGGACATCCATTTTGGTCTTTTGTTTCTTTCCTATCTTTTTAATGACCTCTTGTTTTCTTCATCTGTGATATCCTTGATGTCATTCCACAACTCTCTGGTCTTTGGTCATTAGTGTTCAATGCACCAAATCTATTCTTGAGATGGTCTCTCAATTCAGGAGGGATAGACTCAAGGTCTTACTTTGGATCTTGTGGACTTGTTCTAATTTTCTTCAACTTGAAATTGCATATGAGTAATTGTATAATCTATTCCACAGTAAGCCCCTGGCCTCGTTCTAACTGATGATATTGAGCTTTTCCATCATCTCTTTCCACAGATGTAGGCAATTTGATTCCTGTGTATTTCATCTGGTGAGGTCCATATGTATAGTTGCTATTTATGTTGTTGAAAAAAGGTATTTGCAATGAAGAAGTCATTTGTCTTGCATAATTCTATCATATAGTCTCCAGTGTCATTTACATCACCAAGGCCATATTTTCCAACTACCAATCCTTCTTCTTTTGTTTCCAACTTTCGTATTCCAATCACCAGTAATTATCAATGCATCTTGATTGCATGTTCAGTCAATTCCAGACTGCAGAAGTTGGTAAAAATCTTCAATTGGTTCATCTTTGGCCTAGTGGTTGGTGTGCATTTTTGAATAATAGTCGCGTCAACTGGTCTTCCTCGTAGGCATATGGATATTATCTTATCACTGACAGCGTTGTACTTCAGGACAGAATCTTGAAGTGTTCTTTTTGAGGATGAATGGAACATCTTTCCTCTTCAAGGTGTTATTCCTGGCATAGTAGACCACCTGATTGTCCAATTCAAAATGGCCAATACCAACCCATTTTAGCTCATAATGCCTAGGATATCCATCTTTATGTGTTCCCTTTCATTTTTGACAACTTCCAATTTTCCTAGATTCCATGTTTTGAGTATTAATGGATGTTTGTAGCTGTTTCTTCTCATTTTCAGTTGTACCACATCAGCAGATGAAGGTCCTGAAAGCTTGATTCCATCCACATCATTAAGGTCAACTCTATTTTGAGGAGGCAGCTCTTCCCCTGTCGTCTTTTGAGTGCCTTCCAACCTGAGTGGCTCATCTTCTGGCACTATATCAGACAATGTTCTGCTGCTATTCATAAGGTTTTCACTGGTCAATTTTTTCATAAGCATACTGCCAGGTCCTTCTTCCTAGTCTGTCTTAGTCTGGAAGCTCCGCTGAAACCTGTCCACCAAGGATGATCCTGGTGCTGTTTGAAATACCAGTTGCAAAGCTTCCAGTAACATGCAAGCCACCACAGTATGGCAAACTGACAGACATGTGGTGGCAAATACCCTCTAGAAGCTGGAAAAGACAAGGAAATGGAAAACTAATACAACTATCCACAGTATGTCTCTCAGGATGGATTAAAGGAAGTAGTGCTCAGCAACTGGAGCTCCACTATCCACAGCTACTTAAATCAGATTAGTGAGTAAGGGTGAGAAGAATTAAAGGTTTGCCTTCACTGAATTTTAGACAGTAGAAGAAGAAGAAAAGCAGGAATTAGAGACATATGGACTGTCTACTCTCTACACTATACTGGAGAGAAAAACCGGGATCAAGAATATGGATGTGAACGAACAGCATCTGCAGTGGTGAATAAAGATTCTCTTCTAGTGCAACACTTCTTAAAGTGTTTCAGAAGGGAACATCAATCAAGGTGTCCCAGAACCAATATGGCAAAACTAAAGGTTATGAATTCATATTTCACCTTTTCAGAAGATGCTTTAAATGCCTATAAAAAAAGAGAAATGTATTGCAGACCAATCAGGTTGGAGTTGCAAAGATTTAAAAAAGCTAATGCAAAAGAAGCCACTCATCCCACACTCTGTCACAGGTCTGTCTGAAGACACTACATACGGACTGAAAGCCATGTTATGGCTCTATTCCTGCTGGGATAATCACAGAGGGAAGCTGGACTGTCCAAACTGTTTGGTTTACTAGACTTTAACAAGGTTCTTCTGAATTCTGCAGATCACTAAAGGAAGCTGTTATTCAAAGTCATTTTCATATTCTCACTGTTCTTAGTTTCTTTTTATAGGTTCGCTTTTGTTTTCTTTCTACCCTTCCGGATCAAGGCAGGATCTGTCTAAACTCAGTATTTGTCAACAGAAAGAGGACAGAATTATGTTCTTTGCTCTGGAGGGCCACCAGCTTACTTCCTTTCTGCCCATTTTCAGGAGGTTATGCAGTGGCAGAAAATGACTTGGGAAAGGAGATGGCAGAGGAAATGGAAGCAGATTTGCTGCTCCTCGAGTAGTCACTGTGGACTGCTAAGAAAAAGGAAGAGGACTAGAAGTTTTTGGTACTAGATATTTTGAAGTTATAGTCTTAAGATATTCTTTACTAATTCAACCTACCAATAGGATCATCTAGTTAAGTATTTTGTTATATTAATTTTTTTATAGAAGCTAAAGAAATTCTAGTTTAAGTTACTTAAGGCAGAAAAAAAAGCATAACCCAAAGTTACCTGAGAATATGAGTCACAAGCAACATCTGAAGTACAAGGAATGGATATGAAAAGCTTTCGCGGAGAGGTGGTGTCCACATCACACGGGTACACTAAAAAAGAAAAAAATTCATAGCATGTGCTGTATTTGTTAAAATTTCTAAGTAAGACATACCAAGTAAAACAAAAAACTAAACAAAAAACCTGTTGCCATCTAGTTGATTCCAACTCATAGGGACCCTACAGGACAAAGTAGAACTGCCCCATAGGATTCCAAATCTCTAAATCTTTACAGAAGCAGACTATCCCATCTTTCTCCCAAGGAGCGGCTGGTAGGTTCAAACTGCTGCCCTCTTGGTTAGCAGCCAAACACTTTAGCCACTGCACACCAGGGCTCCTTTAGCAAGTAAACACTACTATTTATAAATACAAATAGAAGTACTTTTCACATCTAATTTAAATGGTGTGTTGCAAAACAAGAAGCTACTAGATTTTCCATAAACAACAAAACTGAGAATGGAGAAGTATTTACTGAGAAAGGGACACACATGGCTTAAGATCTTGTAAAGTATTAATATAATGGACTGTCAACAAGAAAATACCAAAAAGCTTCAACTATAGGCTAAAAGGAAAGGGGGGAAAGTACCAGCAAGAAAACGTTATGCCAAGAACTCAAACCACTTCATTTGAATTGGCTGTTTATACATTGTCTCTTTTTATATGAATTTCAAAAAAAGTACCCATAGGAGTTCTGGCAGAATGGCGCTCTAGGCAGAAGCACCAGGCCGTCCCTCCACAGCAAAGATCCGAAAAACTAAGCCAAACAGAAAAAACAGCAATCCTGAAACCCTAAATAATCAAATGAAGAGATAAAGGACTCAGCCAAGCACCAATGGACTGAGAAAACTGACAGAGAACGGAGAGCGAGGAGAGATTCATGCAGAGGTCCCCTATGAGCTAATGCAGCACCGATCCGCCATCTTGGACTCCTATCAGAGACCAGCAAATAGAGGGTATGAGAAAAAAGCTTCACGGAGCTTCTAGCAGGAGACAGAACAACTGGTAATTTGCGATATATGCTTTCCCAACCCCTACCCTTCTTCACCCCCACTCAGCCTCCTCTGCTTCCCGCAGCCACAGTCTCTTGTCCGGGAAGCACCGGCCGCTTGGATTCCACCCACCCGCGCTGGCCGGCTCTCTGAGTGCCATTTGTTGGCTGCTGGTGTTGCTTTTTTTCCCGCTTCTTTTGATTTTTTCTTTATGGCTCACTACCTCCCCCACCTTTCACACAAATACCTGCCTCCGTGCACCATCTTTGCTTCTTCTTGAGGGGCTACGGAGCTCCGTTCAAGTGTGGAACTGCTTCCAGTTCTGGGCGGCCACGCTGGTGGGATCCTGGGGCTTTTGTTTGTTTGTTTTGAATTGTTTATTTTCTTTTCCTCTTCTTGAGTTGGGAGCCTGTTCTGGCTGGGTGGTGCTGCACATCTTGGAACCTACTACGTTGGCTTGTGCAGACGCGCAGAGGGATCCCTGAGTGCATTTCTCTTTTCGTGGGGTTTTTTTTTTAATCTGTCTTTTTGGGGGCCTTTCATGTTCTTTTTTTTTTTTTAATTTGTTCTCTTTTCCCTCTTTTTGCCTTTTCATCTTTATTCATTACTCAACTTCTCATCTCTCTATACCTTCCTTCTCTTTCCGATCCCTGAATACCTGGCGCTGAATACCTCTATGCCTTCCAGCAGGCTATACAGCAACACCTGAGAACAAATTCCCAAGACCTCATAGCTGCACTGGTGGGATCCCTGGGAGCTTTGCTGTTCTTTTTCATTTCTGATTTTTATTTATTCATTCTTTTCTTTTTTTTCTTCGTCTTCCCCTTTCTGTTCCTCTCCATTTCATAGTCTCTCATCTCTCCAGTCTAACAGCAAGCTCCCCTAGCA